GAAAAAAAATGACAGACTTGCTATTAAAAATGATATAGCCCGAGCTGTAACCTTTTAAAAATCTGTAGAAACCATCGACTGTGATTTTTTATTAGTATTTACTATGAAGTTTTCTAGAATACAGTGTGCAGGAGTTATTCACCTGTTAAGACAAATTGATATAAATCATTGTGCTAAAGTTGAAGAATCTATGTTCGATAGGTGAGGAGATATTCCACAATAAGTGACGCCATGCTTTTTTGACCGCACTATAGTCCCATCTTTCTCCGTCCTGCTACTCGCGACCTCAGTGCTTTTTTGTTCTATCTTCACTTTTTTACAGTGAAAATGTGACTTCTTCTTAAGCTCACTCTTTGTTACGAAGTGTTTTCACTGTCATTAAAAATTGAGATAGGCCGAGAAAGCAGTGAGTCGCGTACTGTGGGCCTTCCTCTATTGATATGACGATGGAGATTTTAACTATGTGCCTTTTTATTTGTTCTAAATAGACTGGATATTCTCTCCAGATCTGATCCATCTCTTTCACTCGACATTCATTGTCTCTCGGTCGCCCACTCGCTTCCTGCCCAGTGTTATCATCACCATTGTGTCCAGTGTTATCATCACCATTGTGTCCAGTGTTATCTGCCCTCATAACCTTCTTGCTCTCAAAGAAACGCAGGGGGCTCTCGTAGCCTAGAGGTTAAGGTGTTGGCCTCTCATTCAAAGGTCCCGGGTTCGAATCCGGGTAGCGACCGAAAAAAAATTCTTCTCTAAATTTGTCTCCTTTCACCTCATTTCCTACTCTCTAGCAATGTTCTGTCGTCTGTTTTCGTCTCCTCTTTCTGCCCCCATCCCCTCACCTCCTTTGCCCCCTCCTCTGGGCTCCTGATTATTTCTGCAGCCTTTTTACTGCTACTCCTTCGCTTCTTCTTATTGCTGTCTTTCAGCCACACACCTGATCTTCTGGTAGGAAAGATCTACACCTAGCCTTCTCGGACAAGGGCGAAAAATCTCGGAGGGTCCGTGTGCAAGTTGCGCACGTTAAAGATCCCTCGGTGGTCTAAAATCGATAAGAGTAGGCTTCGGCCGCCACCCGGGCAAAATTCAAAATTTCCTACCAACTGAAAATATTAGGTGCGTCCCGCGCGCTCATATGACTTTATGCAGTTGCGAGCGCTGTAAAACGCTTTACAAAAACAAACAAGAAACGCAAAGAGTGGACTGGGGATTTACTGTGCAGAGTTCTTATACTCTCACCGTTCTTATCTGAGTGACGCAACAGTTGTTCTAACATTTCAGAGATGTTTACCAAACATTTTGAAAGTGTTTTGAAAATGAAGCCAAATAGCAAAAGCATAATGCGGATTGTTTCAAAAACAACCCCATAGCGATGACTATTTAAGGAAAAGTTTCCAACTCATTCAGCATCTCGTCAATAAGTTGTTTCAGTAAGAAAATACATAGGTAGAAGAAGACAAAACCGCGAGAAACGACAGCTCAGTTATGATGTCCAGAGTCCCCACAATTCTGCTGGTCTCAGCAGTAACCTGTCTATGGTTAGGTGAGTGCCATTACATTGTCTTATCTGGAGGGGGGGTCAGTTTCTTTTTGTTGTAACGGAAAAGAAGAAGCGGGATGCAAATAGATAGACACACTGCAAACCTTTAAAAACACAATGCTTCAAACGGACAAATGAAACAAATGAACGTTTACCCTGTGTTAATGGAGCATTGTCACAGAAGAATAAGACAGCGAAACTTGGTGGTGTGTAGCCCGGAAACTATATAATAACTGTAGACCAACTCTGCCGTCGTAAGGGAAAACGACGAATGGTCCTGCGCAGGTGGCGAGGCAAATTTTTCAGGAGAGGCAAAAACTGTTATAACTCCTCCATTTTCACTCTTTTAGGCTGTAATTCACCAGATATCTGATTGAGGTGTTCATAAAGCAGTTTCTAAAGTTTGAATGGTTTAGATTAAAAAGTAACAAAGTTTTTCGACATTCGTCGTTCTCATAACCATATTGTGCTCCCTCAGAATTACATAGTTCTATCTGCACAGTACCCAGTTTTGAGAAATTTGACATCAAAGATTTTGAGTTTCACATCATGCAAATCTTTTTTTTTATGCAATTTTTCTTTGAATATTGTGACAAAGCAGATGGAACGTTTTTATGTTTATGACCTCATGGTCTTAGTAATTTAAAACTGCCAAAAGTGTCAGATAGAACATGGTAATTCTGAGGGAAGGATTTGTCAATGTTTTGCACTATTTTGTTGACTCCAGTGCAGCTGTTCACGGGGCTAGGGAACAATTCCGTTGTCTACGAATCAATTGCGTTATCCTAACATAAAACTGCCTGTAGTCTGTCTGTTTTGTTTTGGGGGGGGGGGGGGGGTTGTAATTTTGCGTGATAATTAAAATTTGTATTGTCTTCTGCTCTGCAACAGCGACTATTGGCTGCAAACCCAGCAAACGAGCTCTAGTAGTCTTTCAGTTTGATGTTGTTATCATCGATCCAGTTGTTGTTGTTCTTGTTATTATCAATACAGCTCTGTTTGATATGCTTGATAATGTATTGTATTGTCTTCTAAATTCTGCTCTCCAGCAGCGACTGTTGACTGCAAACCCAGCCAGTTAGCAGAGCCGCCATTGACATTGACAGATCCCCAGTCAGCTGACGCCACTTCTGAAGCAGCGGAAGACACGTCGCGACAAGAGCGGGAACTAGACTACCACGACTTTCTCCACTGCATGTACTACGACGGTACACAGTGGCAGAAGTACGTGACCAGCTCTGAGTACTACAGGTACACACACCCCGACCACTCTCTAACCGCTCCACAGGCCGTGGCCAACGACCCAAACAGCAAAATTGAGTCGGATTATTGGTACGATTACTACCTCTATGAGAATGCTTCGCACGACGACAAACTCCACACTCTAACCAAGCCTGACTTCAAAGCGGAGCATGGGTTTGAACCCGACTACCATGACCCAACTTGGAATTTCTGGCTCCACTTCTGGCAAAAGTACTTCACGACCATGAGGCCGGAATGTCGTCAAGGAGATTTGGACTATTTCAACAGCAATGGGGTCGTCCCTGGTGATGATGATGACGATTTAGACTGTTAAGTTCCACTCCATTAATGAACTGTCTGGCGTTTATCGCTCTTCCTTTCTTTCAAACCAGTGGTTTTGTTTGATTTTGTTTGTTGTTGTTTTGTTAAGGTGGGGGGGGGG